TAGCAAACTAACATTAAAAGTTTATCATTCATGCAAAACGCAATGTATAAGAGCAATCATCTTAAATTAGTATAATATATGAATATAAAATAGTTAAAAATATAATTTAAAAAGAGTTGAATGAAAAAACTAAAAACAATGTGGCTAAATATATTTCTTTTTGAGGCCCGGCGAATGGAAATCGCGAACATAGTGGAAACTTACACCAGAGCCGCAGCGGCATACATGCAGGTCGGGGCTAAACCGTACGTTACCCGCATGATTCGGTGGTATCCACCATCCTCGGGTGGATTCAAGTGAACACTGACGGGGCTTTTGATTACCAATCGGGGATGAGTAGTGCGGGTAGGCTGGTCCGAGATGATATAGGACGGTGGATCGAGGGCTTTCTCTTGAATATTGGGTCCTGTACCATTACGGGAGCCGAGCTCTGGAGCTCCTTCTGGGGTTTCTTATGGCGTGGGAGTTAGGATATCGGCAAGTTATTGCTGAAATTGATAGCCAGTGCATTTTAAAATAGCTGTTTTGGAACACATGAGCAGATGATTAAGGCCATTCGCAACTTACTCCACATGAACTGGGATGTTAGAGTTCAACATATCCATAGAAAAGCGAATTTCGCTGCTGATCATATGGCGAGCTTGGCAGCCTCGTACTCGCCTGGCCTGCATCGAGCTTCGACACCGCCTATAGGGCTAGGAACATGGTTAGAGCATTATAGCGCTGGGGTATCATATCCCCGACAAGTTCTAGCATTGGCCGTTGGCCTTCTTCTTTGTACCGACAAAAAAAAATATATATTTCTTTTTTCAAAATAATAATTTTGAAAAGATTAATACATACATAATATATTAGTAAAACTTATACATAATATTCTTCTTTTGAAGTAGTATAATTATATTATTACATTTTTATTCAAAGTCTCATATTTTAAATAATTATCATTTTAAACATTTATTATTAAATTTTTATATAGCGCATTGCCCTTTTTTCTTATTCTATTTTATTTTATTTTTGAAAAATGCTATAATATGAACTAGACTATAAAAATTAAATCATAAAATCTCATTATTCCAAAACATTGTAGAATATTTTTTTATAAATATTTTATGTAAAAACTTATTTAGTAATTTATTAATCGTATTGTAACTAATTTTGGAATAATTTTTTTTTCTACAAATACGAGTCAGGTAAACCTTATGCAAACACGAAGGCCAATAACCGAGTAATGAGCCGGGTTCTGGTAAAGTTGGCTCAAATTTTCCAAAACCCGCAACCGACCCGACTCATTACATCCCTTGTCATAAGTGATAAATTCATAACAGCTATAAATCTCCATAGAAAAACAAAATAATAAAAAATATTGCTAAAAATACACAAACAAGCTTTACATCAGCATGTTAGTATTTTAAAATATTTTGACATTGGCTGAAATTATTATCTTTGTTTGAATGGGCCATGCTACACAAAAATAATGGTTGAGATAAATTTTCACATAATACAAACACAACACATGCTACACAAATATAATGTCATGATATTGTAATTTTACATATTACATCGTCTTTAAAATCAACAACTTTAAATAATACACATCATTATGTCAACCATTGTATCAAAATAATGTCATAACATTTAGGGAAAAGCTTGAGTGGGGTATGGTTCGGAGATTGAGAAATCTCCGGAACCGTACCAAAATTTGAAAATCACTAAATTTGATCTCTGGAATCGTACATAAAATCGAGACGATTTATTCGGTTCGGTTCGATACGATATTCAGAACTATCGGAACGATTCGTTTCGATATGGTTCGTTCGGATCTTCGGTGATTTCTTATTTTATTCTTTTTAAATGACTACCTAGATTTTAATTTTTAAATGCTTTAAAACAAAAAATAACATCCATCAATACTCATCTTATTAAAGATTTTATTTTGAAATCAACTTTATAAGTAACTCAAAACTTTAGTTATTTAATTTTTATATACTTTAAAAAAAATCAACATTCATCAATACTTCCTCATATTAAATATTTTATTTTGAAATCAACTTTAGAAGCAACTCTCAATTTTAGTTAAGACTAAATTTATGCAACTATTATTGAAAATTTAAAATTCAAACAAAATATAATATAGTATTTTCTGTAAAAAAATATAATTTAACCTTTCATACCCTTCAAAATAATTTTTTATAAGAGGAAAAATTCAATTATAGTTCAAGTATTGCTAAGCATGAAATTTGAGTGAAGCTTAATTGCTATTACTATATTTATTTACATTTTAAAACTTCTCAAATTATATAGGATCAAAGTTGACATAAAATATGTTATAACACACATCTAAGTTATAAATTGGTTCTTAATTTCGGTTCTTCATTTGGTACGGTATGAGACAGTTCGGTGCAGTTCTCGCTTGTGAAATTTCCAAAAACGTACCAATTATTTTTTCGGTCTGGTTCGGTACAGAGATAGTCAAAAGGTCAACAACTATTTTTCGGTTCAGAGTGATTTTGATTCAGTTTTCGGAACAGTTCTGATATAAATGGTTTAGCTTTTAAATATTTTTTTGAATGGTTCTGTTAGCGTAATACATAAATGTTAATTAAGAATTTTTTACTTAAATCTTAATTTGACTTATTTATTTACAAATTTTAAATACTTAAAAAATTAAAATAAAATTTAGGTAAATATATTATTTATATTTTATAATGCCATATGAATATCAAACTACAAATCATCAAAAATATAATTTAATATTTATATATACATACATATATATATATATAATATCAATAATAAATTTTTAAGTTTTGAAAAAAAATTAATCTAAAAAATGTTTTATAATCATACAAGTCGTACTCCCCTTATACAAAATTCTCGAATGTGCTGAGCCTAAGTGGCAGACTCGAATGCTTCGGGATCCTTTGTGACAATTTTTTAAGCTTTGTTGTTTGGTTTTGGATGATTTTTTTTTTAAAAAAAATTCTATAATTAACTATATTTGAAATATTTATAAATATAGTAGATATCTATGGTCCTTTGTAAGAGCATTAATTATGTTTTAATATCATTTTCATATTATGGACGTGGTTTATAAGGTATATAAACTTTTTCTCAATCTTTCTGTTTTCCTCAAATTTCTTTTAGAATTACAATAATTTTTCTAACTTAAATTATAAATATATTTAAAAGTTAATAGATTTCTTATTTATTAGCAACTTTTGTATATAATATATCAAATTAATCATGTTTTGATGAGCTTCGGTTTGACATCTATATTACACATATAAAATAAACGAATAGTTTTATTTATATTTATAATTAAAATAAATCACCTATTAATATTAACTCAAAAAAATATTTTTTTTTTTTTTTTATCTAACTTAACTACAAAGTAGTATATGATATAAATAAAAAAAAATTACAATATAAAATGGTGGTTGTGTAAGTGACGATATCATTTTAAATGTAAATAACAGTATATTTTTTTAAAATAATATTTAAAAGGTAAAACACTTTTTGTCGTCATTATTATTTAATTTCCGACATATTTTTTTTAACGATTACAGGTGTAGTATACTGGTATTGTACTAGTAGATATATATAAAAGTCTATCTACATGACGACACACAAAAATTTTAACATAAAAAAGGGAGATTTTATTATCTCGTTACGGAACTATTTTGTCGGGGTTTGTAACTGTTAGATCAATGATCCACGACGGTTACATAACGATTTAACGGTTTCAAATCTAAACGGAATGGTTCCGTAACGGGAATATAGTATTTCCCAAAAAATTAACACATTTATAAATAACAGAAGTTGATTAGTAAAAGAACTCTATTTGAGCATCACAAAGTCCTAATCACTCTTGTGCATTGCAAAATTTTGGAAGCCTCAAAAGAGACCGAGAAAAACCAACCGCGTTGCCCTGCTCCTTTTGCCTCCTCCTCTTGTCCCTCACGCACAAACACATAGTGACGGAGAAATTCGAAAAAGATAACAATGGCCGGAGAAAAATCGACGCCCCTGCTGAAAGATGAGCTTGATATAGTGATACCCACCATCAGAAACCTCGATTTCCTCGAGATGTGGCGGCCCTTTTTCGAGCAGTACCATCTAATCATAGTCCAGGATGGTGACCCTTCACAAAACATCAAAGTCCCCGAGGGTTTCGATTACGAGCTCTACAACCGCAATGATATTAACAGAATTCTTGGCCCGAAAGCCTCCTGCATCTCCTTTAAGGACTCTGCCTGCAGGTGCTTTGGGTACATGGTCTCTAAGAAGAAGTACATTTACACCATTGATGACGATTGCTTTGTGAGTTTCTCGAACATCCTTTTGTTTGAACTGTTTGCATGTTTTGTTTTCTGTAATAATTGTGTTTCTTAGTCTTTTTATTTATTTATTTATTTATTTTTTTTTTGCTTTTTGGAGGGATAAAATATTGGATCTTGAATTATTATTGTGTTGGATTGGTTATGTGTGAAGGGAAAGATAGGATCTTTATGTTGAATTGGTGTTTTGGGGTGTGGATGAATTTGGATCTTGACTTATTAGAGCGTCTCCAATGGTTAGCTATTTGGCTAACTATTATGACGTGGACAGGGAAAAAGTAAGAGAGAGAGTAGTCACTAGCTACAAACAAATAGCTTATCTATTTCACGTAGCCCAAGATCATGTGAGAGGAGTATGTGGGTCCAATAGTGTAAAATAGTCATTTTTCTTATCTCTCACATCCACGTCAGCTAACTATATAGCTAGTAATAACTATTACCATTGGAGATGCCCTTATTGTGTATGATGTTGGTTCTTGAATTGAGGAAGAATTAGGTTTGAGACTTTGAATTTTGTGCATAACTTTGTGCTGATTTCGAGTTTTTTTCTTTTTCCTTTCCTTTTTTCTTTTTTTTTTTTATATCATGGGTTATTTTTACACTCTGGTTTTGTGCCATCTGAACTAATTTGGATGAGGTAGTTATTTCAGCTCAAACTCTATGCTCCAAAAGTAGAATGTAGTAGCTTGGTGCTGGTGTCGTATTGTTTGAAATGCCCATCTCTATTATACATCCCCGTTGCGCGAGCACAAAATGAATTTAATTAATTATCAAGCACATCTTTGTCGTGATTCCTTGTGGATCTTGCTCTCCCTTTGGCTACTAGCTTAAATGACATGGCTTCCATTTTTTTTTTTTTTTTTCTAGTTCTGTAATACGATGTCTCGAAGTATGATTGTTAGTTAACTGTACTTTTTACCTTCACGATGTCTAGGTGGCCAAGGACCCATCCGGGAAAGACATAAACGCTCTCGAGCAGCACATAAAGAACCTCTTGTCTCCATCCACTCCCCATTTCTTCAATACTCTATATGATCCGTATAGGGAAGGTGCCGACTTTGTTCGTGGTTATCCTTTTACTTTACGTGAGGGTGTACCCACTGCCGTCTCTCATGGTCTCTGGCTCAACATCCCCGATTATGATGCGCCAACTCAGCTTGTCAAGCCCCGTGAGAGGAATACCAGGCACGTGACTATAAAAACATTGCAAGATTTATGGATCATAACTTTTTTATTTGGACTCTAGTCTTAGCCTATTATTGTTTGTTTTTGGTTTTTTTAGATATGTGGATGCAGTTTTGACGATTCCCAAGGGAACCATCTTCCCGATGTGTGGTATGAATTTGGGTTTCAATCGGGATTTGATCGGGCCCGCTATGTACTTTGGGCTCATGGGCGATGGTCAGCCGATCGGGCGGTATGACGACATGTGGGCCGGCTGGTGCACCAAGGTAACTTGTTGAAGCTTTCTTTGTCTAGTTATCATAAGAATTTGCAATTCTAGAGCCTCATTTTATTGTTTCAGTTTTTCATTATGGCATATCTTCTTCACAAACCTCATGTATATATCCAATGTGAATCACTAAATAAATATAAAACAGTAAAACTAGTTACATAATATAAAATTCCAGCGATTTGTTTTAGAATTACAAAATTCGCCTCAACGTTTTTTTTTCTTTACTAAGTTTCACTGCCACTGGGAAATAAATTTCTAGTAATGGTGTTTGTAGGTTTTTCTTTTGTAATTTTGAAACTCAGTAATCAACCGTTAACGGAATTTCCAAAAACTGGCTAGAGTAAGTACGAGAAACTTTACCCACCCACCATTTCTCATTTACTCACTCCTATATTTTCATATTTATTGATGAAAAATAAGAGAAACTCGATAAAATCTTGAATATTTTGCAGGTGATATGTGACCATTTGAACCTGGGAGTGAAGACAGGTCTGCCCTACATATGGCACAGCAAAGCCAGCAACCCGTTTGTGAACCTGAAAAAGGAGTACAAAGGGATCTACTGGCAGGAACAGATCATCCCGTTTTTCCAGTCAATTATTCTCCCGAAAGAATGCACAACAGTCCAGCACTGCTACATTGAGCTGGCCAAGCAAGTCAAGGACAAACTTTCGGCCATTGATCCTTACTTCACAAAGCTGGCGGAGGCCATGGTGACGTGGATTGAGGCTTGGGACGAGCTCAACCCTTCTGGGGATGCCCCGGCTAAGCTCCCCAATGGCAACAAGAAATAGATTCCCATCCTATTTTTTGTATTCATTATTTAGCTATGGAGCAAGTTGGATTAAAGATGTGGTTGGAGACCTTATAGGCTCTATTCATTATTCGACTTTGTTTATGTGATTTTATGTTGTGTTGATTGAGTTGCTTTACTTTTGATTATGTCATAGCATTACTTTTGAACAAGCAATGGAAGTTATCAGCTCCTTCGGGGCTTGTTCCTTGTGATCAAAAGTTCTAATGTGATGGGAAAGCAAACATGAAGATTGAAATTGTAATTTGTTCAGGACTCGAAAAGAAAATACTGAACTAAATATCCAATTCCAACATTGAAAGGCAAACTGAAAAGAGAGACAGCATTACAAATTGATCAGAATATTTTACATCCACATTGAGTGATTATGACAACAAACCTGTTGAAATAACAACAGCTCATGCATGATGTGGCGCTGAAAAGATCAGCCCAACATTTTCTTCACTTTTTGTTTTTTTGGTTTTTGGTTTTTCTGATTTGACAAGTTCTAGTTTTGGAAGAGTATTGATCCCATCATCAATAGACCAAAGAACAATATTTTTTTGGCGTATCGACAAATAATTGCAGAACCTTTTCAAGAGGGCAGATAAACCAGCAGCTCACCATCACTTGTCACAGCCAAAGCACCAAAGTTGGATGTGTCGGTAGTTATGCACGGCACTGTGCCACCTGAAGTACCAATGTCGAGCAACTTAACAAAAAATGAAGTGGGATTTTAAGCACGGAAACACATATTTTGTGCAGGATATATTTTGCGAAAGCTTTTGCAGAAATTGAGTAATTATATTATCTTTTAGCTGATAGGAACTTGAGAAATTGAATCTATGTAAGATTAGTTGGGCAATTCAGGTTGGCAAAATGTCCTTTCAGCGGTGACCCCGGTTAGATAGTGAAACTACCTTTAAATGAGAGTATGTTTCTTAGCTTCAGCCCTGTAGATAGTTCCCACATATAAACCTGTCCATCAGGTCTACCTATAATTCCATGACCCATAGGTGTGACTGAAGCAGCCCTGCAACAAGAACTTCTATCAGACAGGACGGGTGACATTATAATTGCAAGTACAAGCACTTTACCTCATCAGATCAGGATGCAAGGAGATAAATTTTGTTAGAGTTTGACATAAATTTTGTTAATTGTTTGCTTACCCAGATCCATATATCAGGAATATTAATCACAAATCTCTTCATTTTATTTGTCTATATTTTCTGTTATTAGACTGAAATTCAAGGGTAGTTTTTTTATTATTCACTGCATAAAGTAGAAGATTTATACCCTTGATCCAAATCACTTCCAGCGATAACCGTGTTGTTGACCAGCAAAGCAAGCCTCCAACACTCACTCAGTTTCGCTTCTGTTTCGGATGATTGATAAGAATCCGGATCAGAAGGGGTTGATATCAGAAGCCAAACAGTCGCATCTTTACCCTCTGATGAGAACATGTGATGTTCGAATCTCTTCAAGAACGAAGTTTTTGTGGCATCCATGATTCCATCCACTAGTGCCTTCATCTTGCATTCTCCATTCCTTTGCCATCTGAAAGCACTGACAGGAATCAACCCTGAAATCAACATGCCTGGGGAGGAGAATTTTGATATCAGGTTGCGCCTTTTAATGTCCCTGCACAATATGAATATAAACTTCTTTAAAAGATATAATTGTGAAAGAAAGCATTCATGCATCCAAGAAAGCATTCATGCAGTCCATTCAGCTTACTATTTGTTCAGTAATTTGAAAAGCCCACAGATAATAATTATGGGCAAAATAAGTAAAACAATGTGATGGCTTTGTTAATAATTGTTGATTGAAAGCCTCGAACAATGTGACGGCTTTGTGCAAAGGGCAAACCACTATACATAAATACTCTGCAACATTACGTGCACAGTCTAATCTAATTACAGGTTTCAGGTTTTCCAAGAATAAAGGAACATACCATAAGCCAAATTCCCCTAGGCCATTGTGGCCAACGACCAAACTATCAGAGTTCGGAATAGTCTTCAACTCCACAATACTAGGAAACATGCTGTCAAATGTTGGTAAATGACAATCTTCTTTCTGTTGACTGCCAATTAGAGAAGCACAAGTTAGCATAGAGTGAATGATTATCTAAAAAGAGAAAATGAAGATAAAAGCTGCCTGATTGGGATGCGATGCCAGGTACATTGGAGGTTAAGCTTGGTAAAATGAAACTGATGGAAATCAATTATCTGAGATAATTCAGAAGGACCTTTGTGCTTTCAGCTGTAAACGTTTTCCAAGTATGAGACTTACATGTTTGTATGATTTCAATGTAGAGTGTGTCCTTTTTTATGAACAGTAAGACTTCGTTTTATAAACTGAACTAGTATGATAGAACAAATCAACAGATTTGTGACCCATTTGTACAGATACTCCAATCACAGAACATGGCCGCATTTTGTACATTGTGTACAGATTCATTTTTTTAGCATGAATAAACAAATGACACTAATAGAGTTGAATATATCTCCAATTCCATCTATGATGCTAAACCAATCAAGAACCATTCAACACTTTACAATCTGCTATAGAATGTATGCCAAAAACAAATCAAATCATCAACATAATAAGAAACGAATCAAATGACAAACACCACGTATTGGCATTTTCCTTGCTGTTTTATTCTCAAACACGTTTGCTCCAGAGTAGATTAGAGTTCCTGGGTAAGTCATAAGAAAGAAAGGCTTTGAATCACCTCCACCGAGAGTTCATGACCCACAGCTTCAGCTTTCCACCCTCCTCCCCAGCCAGAACTGTAGACCCACAGACCAATAAACAGCATACACCTTGAGATGTTTGCAGTCTTGTCACAAGGGAGGCATATCCCTTGTTTAAACGTAAAATTTTAACTGCATTTTTCTCAGAGAAATCTGAAGTACAAACTGGACACGAGCAATGCAGTTTACCCTCCCTGGAAGCATAGGTGCAAAGTTTTGTTTTAAGAGTCTGCACACTTACATAATTAAACTGTCCAAACATGAGTAGACCATACAGAGCAAAAGAAAATATTTACCTACAGTAAGGAGTAATAATGCTGTTCAATAGAACAAGATACTGTGCATCTGGAGTTAACTGCAGTGAAGATCTATATGGAGCACTCTGCAAAACAAGTGGAATGTTACTGAGTTGCTATATGCAAAGTTGAACTGTTGATGTGACAAAAATTAAATCAGCGGCCTTACATCTTTTCCAAGATTAGATTTTGGAATTCGGAAAGCTATTGGAGCATGGCCAATTAAAGTAGGGCAACTAGTCTTCTCTCGATTCATTGAGGCTTTGTACAAAAAGAGGGTGCTTTCATTGTGCTCCAGATATCCACATGTAACACATACAAAAACCTCTTTCTCTTTAACAATCAGATGAACCATGGAAATTGGTTTGGGATGGATATAGTGTGCAAAAAGCTCTAGATGGCCCAGTGACTTTCTATAATATTCCATATTTTGCCGAGTATTCTCTCTAGAATCATCTTTAGTTTCATTGTAATCAGGCAGACTGCGGCAGCCACTTGTACTTGGGATTTCTGACTTTGAACATGAAGTATCCCTACCACAAATGTCCGTGTTTTTGCGCAATTTGGCAAATCTAGCTTCAGATTTCTGAAGTCATAAAAAATGTGAAGTATTGATGTGGAAATTGTTGATAAATGATTTGCAGAACTAGATCACCTAAACTGAATGCAATATATACTTCGTACCTCAGGCATACTTATATCTGAGATTTTTTTGTCCATGATGGTTTCTGATTTATAAGTTCCATGCATTATAGATGCATGAGCAGGAGGAACCTTATCTAAGGACTGGCACTCAAACCTGGCTCGTTTTGAGTTTGAAGTTATTTCCTTCATAGGGGCAGGACCAATATTTGCTGCAGTCACAAATTTAACACCAGCTGTCCCAGTATCTGTCCATGCATAGAAGACATATGATCAAAATATTCTTCTACAAATCTGCACATGCAATTGTACCAGTCATCATCATCCAGTTATTTAGAGTTGAAGCTTAATATTTTAGAATTCATGCCCAGGAAAATTAAAAAGGTTAGATGGATATAAGATCCAAATGAAGGTTCAACCAATAAAACTACATAGAGATAAGGGACTTATAGAGGGAGGGAAAACACCAAATAACAAAACTGACCAGCTTTGGCAGCATCAGAATTGGGAAATACAGATTGAGGATCATCATTATCAAAACTATCAGGTGCCACATAATCTGATTTTCCAGCTGAATCTTGACCACCAGAGATGGTACAAACCTTTCTTGTATCTGAGTGCTCGGCTAGCCCGCAGACTGAAAAGTTTTAGAAAAGTAAACGAAAAGATCATAGCAAGCAACTTGTGCAACAAGTGCCTCAATTAAAATAAAATTATTAGTCAAATAGGAGAAAAGATATAACACTTCACCTGTGGTTGCGCCATCAACGCTAATCTTTGGCATGCTATCTTCATCCTGTAATTTATTTGTTTGGAGATTTGAAGGCTTTCCAGTTTTCTTTTTCTTTCTCGTGAAAGTCTTGAGCAAAGGAACAGCTTGAGGAAGTAGAACTGACATCATGGAATTGGCTATTTCTTGACCAATTGAATCAATATGACACTTCTCTGAGCTTGTGCAGTTTTCAGATGAGAATATTCCATCTTCTGGACACGATTCAGTTACCAAAATGTCATCCTTAACTGCATCTTTTATGATTGAATCATTTTCAACCCCAGGCACTTGCAGGTCATTCACTGCAGAAGAAACAAATACATGTCTGAGGTAGAATATAAATGTGATTAAAGATAGTAAGTGGCCGGGAAATTGTTAAATCAATCACTTGATTTATTTCTGTTTGCAAGGTTAAGTTTAAGAGTAGCAAAACCTTCAGCAGGATCCAAACTGTCGGGTATGCACATATCAGCATCATGCACAATTGACAAGACATGCTGAAGATTAGTTGCTCCACCTCTCTTTTCTGGTATTATGCTATTGAATCCCTTGACCTTAACATATCCAGGGATATCATTTTCAGTAAATATATAAGCTAAATAGATTCATGGATTTCTTTACGTAAATTTCACTAAATCAGGGTACAAACATAATTAAACCAGTACCAATATACTTACAGGTTCTTGGTTCAGGAGCAAGTTGCCAATATTGAATCCAGAATGGTTTGCGGAACTACTGAGATTTCTTTCTTCATGGAGAAGTGAATCTACAACTCTGAGGTCATCAACTATGTCCACAGAATCCATCTGCATGCCTCTTTCTGCTATCGTTGGGCATTTCTCATCTTCAATTATGACAGCTGACTTTTCAAGTCTTATTACAGCCGGACCACCGTTGATATCGGAGGCTTCATTTGTGGCACCTGAAGTCGGAGGATCACGGCCACATTGATGGCTTTGCTTATAATTTGAAGAGCACAAGTCATTTGTGTGCTTTTCTTGTTGATGGTGTTTGAAGTTAGTCCCACTGAGGCCTTTACTATTAACAGCTTTTGCGATCTTGGTTCTCTTACCTTTAACTTGTGGCATCGCCATGTCTGACAGCAAATTAGAATTAGGATTTGACGGTTTGCACTGCAAATGATTAACAGTTTCAGAGATTCCACTTGGGAAGCTTGACGGCGACAAACCCTCTTCAGCAGTCCCACCAACATTCGCTACCAACTCCCGCAGTAACCTCTGGACAAATGTGTTTTTGAATCCAAAAAACTGCACCAGGAAGTCGAATCAATTTTACCACTTCAATGCGATTCAAAATATAAGTAATTAATATGGAAGAATAGCCAACAAATCAGTATGGCACTCAGCGAAAGTCAACTTAAACAGCACACTTCAATAGATAAAAATGTTTGCTGAGGAAGCATTATTTGCAAGAACATTGCATGACTGTAACGTACATATTCTTAAAAACTACGGATGAAAAATATCAAAAATGATCAGGTGATGCAAACCATGTTATGCCATGAAAGACATTTGGTAGTGAAACATCTCATAACATGGATGCTTGTTATTGCAACTCTGCTTCTTAGTGAAAAACAACAAAAACAACAAGAAGTATATTCCCAATTGGTTGGGGTCTGGGGGTCAGTTGTACGCAAACCTTACCCTTGTAATTATACAAGGAGGCTGTTTCCGTAGCGACCCAAGGTGCATTGCGTCGTTTGATATTTATTTTTTTTTTCTAGAAACTTCACTAATAGAAGAAGCACTAGAATTTAATTGAGCCAAAAACAAAAATGGAAAATCCTTAAGAGAAGGTCAAATTTCTATCAGAAGGTGATCATGGAAACAAATAGAAAGCTATCCTAAAGATGAGGTTTCCATGCACCAAAGACCAAAGAATATGATTAAGTCTAGCAAATTGCTGAGTGCAGTGTAACAGTTCACCCTTTCCTAGTGAAAATATATATTATGAACCTTTATAGCCAGTTCCCCTTCAAAATGCACTTTGTAGAAGAGACTCTCATGATTCAATTTCTACTTCGGGACATGCTGAAGTTACTGCAAGATTCAATGGCTTATCTGAACTTTCACGAGTCAAGAGAAATCGAGACTCATGAGCTAGAGTTCCAACTTTTTGTTACATTAATGAGAACTGGGAACCAAATGCAGGATTAACCTTCCTTTTTGTTATAAGAACAAGATGGGAAAATGTCCTAAGTTGAACAAGTAGCATCGACCTATTGGGCATCTATTCCTAGAAATAGAAGGCACTCTATAATATTGCAAGTGCAGCTATAACTCACAAGAAAAGAAAAAGGAAAAAGGAACACAAAGAAAAATGAACAAGGCAAAATGCTTGACCTCGACTCCGTCTATCTTAGACGAAGATCTCTTTCCATGCCACAACTTTGAAAAGCTTTTCTTCTGAAAGCTCTCCCATGCAATGTCTGGTGTGTCCCCAGAACAAGACTTGCCATCCGTGGAACTAATCTATAATATGTCATCCAATGCCAATATTGGTAGTTAATGATGTATCCAGTTAGCGGATGAAAGATTACATGAAAAAATTGATGCCCACTCACCGTAAATGCTGGACCCTTAAGACCTTCAAAAATTTCCATTGTGTAAGTAACCCCATTTTGAGTCCTCAACGATCTGTATCCGACAGGATAAGGATACCGGTCCTTCCCCTGCAAAGTGACGTGCCTTATTGTGTTACAAACATCGGATATTATCACCAAACACACAGTGTAGAAAGCTTCATTCTCTGGGATCTCCATAGAGGTCAGAATAGATTTTCAGAAGACATGTTACACTTTCGAATTTACCTTAGTGGTCAGAGCTAATGGGTTAAACTTCAAGCTTATGAAAACAACTATCATCTCCACTGTCATTTACAAAGAATAACACTTGAAACATGAAGTGATAAAATCGTTTCTCAACATCTAAACTGGATTGAATCCGTGCTAAAACACGCGCGCGCACACACACAAAAACACACACACATACACACAAGTCTTGTCAATAGCATTTGCTATCTCTGACCATGGCACAAAACAAACTACTAGCTAAATATCCACATACAATGAATACATAAGCGAGAAGTAAACAGAATAATCAATGTCGAAGGAGATTTACAGAAAAATATTTGACGGAACACGAGAAATATCAATCAAAAATCAATTCAAAAGCATGCTCAGAAAGAGAGATTGAAAAAAAACCCTGGATGAGCTCCAGTACTTCTTGTCCCATGAACCGCTGTATAGCTTTCCGATCGATATGATTTCTATGCCGTCCGATTTCTCTTCCTTCACAGCTTTTCTCCCCATTGATCTCCGCTCGATTCTCAGTCTAGCTCTGCGTGCTGTGTGCGCGTGTGGTGTGTGTATGTTTGCGCGCGATATCCCCAAATTCAGTGAAGGATAAAGGGCGGGAATAAAAATTGCTGAAATTATTTAAATAATGTTTACATTTTTTTTTATTAATATTATTATTTGTTCTGATTTTTGATTATTCAATTCGAGATTTTTGTTAACGAAGCTTCTTTTCACCAAAGTGCTGCCATGGCCAAATGGGCCTTTTTAATGAAAATAAACAAACGGAGCTATTGCCAAGGTCCATTGGGACTTTTCGAATAAGAAAAAAAAAATAGGAAAAAAAAAACGCCGTTGCCGGGGATCGAACCCGGGTCACCCGCGTGACAGGCGGGAATACTCACCACTATACTACAACGACTTGTTTGTTCAAATAGTATATTGTTTTAATAAAAACTATGAATGGACGAGCTCTAATTGCAAATAACCTGGCAGTAGCGATGCTCTACTTATCACGTACTCATTTTTGTTATAATTAAAGAATTTTTAACTTCATTATTAGTTTAAACGTTTGTCTCATCTTGGATCAAATCCACCATTAACTTGGCCCAAATCATTTTTTAAACTCCAAGGTTTTAGCATCACATTTGAAAAATTGAAGTCAAACTGTATAGGAAAGAATGCTTAGCTTCTTTTCATGCTTGGAGAAGACATTATTCTTGAACTGGAAGAACTTCTCATGCTGCTTGATCAATCAGCGGTGCTGCTTTGGAAATTTGAACCTTCTTCTCACTTGGTTGTTGTCGTTAAGGCTATTAGGAAGCTTGCTCTCTGTTTTTGCTTGTTCGATTCTGTTTTGACCCAAGCTCTTTTTAGTTAGGTTTTCTTTGTGTTTTTTCCGTGTAGGAGAGTCTTGTTGATATCTTCGTGGATGTTATTCTGATAATTATTAGTTGGGTTTCTACTTGTTTCAATCAGTTGATCGTTCGATTGTACAAACGTTTCTTTTGAGTAATTAATTTTAGTTGTTTGCCTGTTGGAAGAGGAAAAAAAAACAATGAGGCTACACCATTGGAGTTATGCCTTTATTGAAATTAGGGACATCTCGGACTGGCTGAAGTTGTGCTCACACTATATAATCATATTGAATATTTCTACTTTTATCAGTTGGCTAAATCATATAAGTCTTATAATATATTTTCAGTTGGAAATAATAAATAATATGACATTATTTTTCTACAGGTCTATTTAACACAATTGTACTTTGTAATTTAGATGAATTTGTCCGTTTGTGAATCTCAAAAAATGACTTGAAATTAGAAGAAAAACAATAAAAAAGAATGAAAACTGAGACACGCAAGATACGCTATCTGATATGAAAATTACCTCCGAATTGGGTTAAACTAGAACCTCCATGAACGGAGCTTCGCCTTGAGCTTCAATAACTCGTAAAACACGTCGGGGAGGGGTCCTGATGGAAAACTTCTGACGCTCAAGTCAGAATCTCGCTCGTGAATGTATATGAAAATTGTATGCTTAAAGCGTAGTATCCTTTATGTAAAAGTGAAACCTAGTAACCTCTTATATACTCGTGGTATCTTCTTGTCCAAATAGAGTCCTCTCTAAGAAAGACATCCCACTGTTTCTCATTTCCTAGCTTTACACGTCTCTATGATCTTAGACTCCATAGCGAGATAAACTTTTCATCCTTAGTAGGATTTTATCTCCTCTTACCATACGACTTTTAGGTCCTTAGATTTTCCTAACGAAATCATAACCCATCCACCATAGGCTCTTACCAAATCTAATGCCCGACCTTTATTACACGACCTCCAGGTTGTAACATCCTTTTATCCAAGGTCAGCGAACTCTTCGACTAGCCCCCTCCTGGCTATTATCCTTTCTTCCTTGGCCAAATCTAAGCTGGCCTCAAATTCCCCGTCAGAGACGACCTCATCGAACATAGCGGACCCTATAGGATCCATTTGAACCATTTTTCCCCCAACTCAAATTTAGTCGACCACTTTTTTTTACTACTATTGGCTAAAACCCCATAAAGGCTCCTACTACCTCTGTGCAAAAAATACAGCCAATTTCCTTCATGACCACCCATTAAACGGCTCAGCGTAGAAGACCAAATATTATTTTGTCCGACATCTACCTAGCACCTTTGACTTCTCGCCAGAATGGCTTGACAAGCTCCCAGACCAGCTCAAAAATCCCAAACATTCCAAATTCTATGACGAGCTAATTCGTGACTAGAATCCGCTCCCTTTCAACACCATAAAACTCACTAACAACCCTCGGCTCCTTCTTCACTATGGGTTGTCGTCATGAAAAGCCCCTCTTGTTACCGACATACGTAGTCTTCTTCTTTATTTTATTTTATTTATTTTTTTTTGCTAATCTTTATACAACCTCGACCTGTTACTAATTTTTTATGTTTTTTTATATAGATTCTCTAGATCCAAGGAGATCAAAGCCACAACCGAGCAACCAGCCTTTGGGCTTTCCAAGCAAGCTGACCAGGACAACTCGAAGTGAGTTTCCTAAGAACAAAAATGAGGAAAAACCTCCAAAAAGAAGATGTTGGAGAAGAGCGAGGCCACTATCGAAACCCTTGAGAAGCTTGGGTGTTTTCCTACGAGTAAGGACGACGAGGGCCAATTCATCTTCCTTTTCTCCATCTATCCCAATGGAGAGACCGATTGCTAGTCGAGCGACAAGGTGGCCCGAGCTGGTTATATGACCAACCATTTTGTTCAGGTACAACTCGTTTCTTTACCTTTATTCTTTATTGTACAATTCAGCTTCACACCCAGCTTATAACTCTTCTTTTATTTTGATTTTGTATGCTATGTCTGGCATAGCCCCCATTCTCTGTGAGGCCTTATTCGGCTACTCTGACGAGGTTGCCAAACTAAAGAAGGAGCTCGAGAACAACGAGGCTGCTAAAGCCAGTCTGCGGGCCTTAACCAACACCAAAAGGGGGAGATTTTTAGGACATACTGTAAAAACTCGACTTTCAGTTTCTAGCAATACCTTTTTGATCTAGCAATTATGTTTTAGTCAAGTATTTGTGTTTGCAAGTTTATTTATTTATGCAAGCATAAGTTCGTTTATTTTACGTTGTAGATTGTATGGTTTAATGTGTCGAACATAAAGATCATACAATCAATTCCTTGTGAAATAAATCATATATTCACATTTTAGACAGATTTGAACAACCCGATTGGTAAAAGATTGTAGTGTGATTTTGATTCAGTTGGTCTTTGACTAATGAATTACACTAGTACTTTGTTAAGTATTGAATGGGACGCGAAAGGATAAGATTATCTGAATACTAATAGATTAAATAATCTCGACCATGAGTGATTGATGCGTATTCTTAAACCGTAATATAATAAACCAAAAAATGTGTATATATATATATTCGTTATTTGTTTATTTAATTTACCAATGGTGATTCTTATTTTATTAGAATGACGTACTCGGTGTTTTGGTAAATGATAATGCTTATATGATGTTCTGCTACAATTATTTATGGTCACTGTGCCATGGTGGCGTCGGGTTGATGATGTCCCCGAAATGAGCTCATGAATGAATATTATGTTAAGCCCCGTAGACATATTAATTTTTAACATAATGCTTAGGTAACTGAGTAGTACTAATTTCTTGTCCTCCAGGATAAAAGAAGTTGATTAATTTTATTGTCAATGGATGTATTATCTTAAACATGTGGATGGTAAAACAATTAAATTAATATGATGAATTAAGTAGGGGGTTCGAATTTATTGAATAAATTGAATCTAAATGGGGAGAGCAATATATTACTCTAGTGGAATGTTCTATTATTTAATTCAATTGGGAGATAGGTATAAATCCTTCTAGAATATTACCAAAGGCAAGCAGACTTGGGAGTCTTCTAGAAAAGGGTAATTAAGTTGGAAGGAATTAGGTCCTCTAGAAAGGAAAGGAGTTGGAGAATATAAGGTTTCCTATCTCTAATTGGAAAAACCCATATTTAGCACCTCTCAAGGTCCTTAATGTATCCTATAAATACATCATGTCCTAACCTCTCTTGTGTGGGTGTGAGAGCCGGTTTTTAGGTAATGAAAAGAGAGAAAAATCATGCATTACATATATATTGAGAGTTCGGGAGTTTCGTTTAATCGCACCACAATGATTATCTGAAGTAGGAGAATAAGGTCAAACATTAGAAGTTTTTAAGGTCCAATATGTTTCGAGCATCCCGACGAATTTATTATTATCAGATTTATTTGGGCGAACCATTAAGCCGCCAGAAAATTGCCGCCGTGATGCATCCCCTCACTGTCGCACACCATCGATCGCACCACGAGCCGCGTCCAGCCGCACGCCCTCGCTCGCGACCTCCTTGTGATGCCCTGCTCCCTGTACGTGCAACACTGTGCCTAGCAGTGCCGCGACCTCCCTGTGATGCCCTGCTCCCTGTCCGTGCAACACCATGAAACCCAGCAGCGCCGCGACCTCCCAGCTACGCCTCGTCCCCAACCGCGCGACGCCAAAGCCTGAGAACTTCGTGTGCCGCAACATGCCAGCTCCTACGAGCCTTACCGCGCACTCCCCGACTATCTCGGACCTGTGCTCCTCGTCTGCGATCATGTGGGGGACAAAGAAACTGAGGCGAGTGAACTCGCGCTCGTACTCGTCTACTATCGTATCGCCCTGCTTCAGGGCCAGAAACTGGCGCTCTATCCTCTCTCTGTAGTGGGCCGGGTAGTAGTTCTATCAATACATAGCCCACCAGACATCTGCATATGCCCAAATAAATTGGCTAACTATGGGACTATCATAAACCAGTACTTATGTGCACCTTTTGGGGGTCCCCTCCCACAGAAATCCAAGCTGGACATCGTTTACTCATCTGGACGCTAGACTTAGGTTGGACATCACACCACTCATCTAAGTCATAACTGACATCTGACATACTCCAATCCAGGCTGGGCATCGCACAACTCATCTGGACGCTAGAC